GTGTGTGTTAGGCTGCGCACTTTTGGATTTTTGGGCCCGGGCGGCACTTAGGTGGGATGCACCTGGGGTGCACCTGGGATGCACCTGGGATGCACCTGGGATGCACCTGGTATGCCCTGGTAAATAATGGCCTCCATGTAGTGCTGGGTGGCCGAGCGGTCTAAACGGTCTCAAACTAAACAGCTGTTGGTCTGGAGTTCAATCCCCACCAAAGCAAAACATCCCAAGCACCCCGGGTAGATGGGACTCGCTAGCCTTGGACGGCAACTCATCAAAGAGAAGGCAAACTCTGAATTTAAAATCAGGAGCCAGAAATGATCAACAAATTGATCGTGGTCACCTCAAATATAAGAAGAAGAAGATGTATTTCAACAACATTGCCTGACATGAAAGTATGCTAATTTTCTGTACTCTAACAGTTACTTAAATAAATTTGATTACTAGCATTGCCAAATATTTAAACATTAAGTTTTTGCTTTTCACTCGCGCTCTACAACAAATATTTCATGAGATCCCAAACAATATCTTTTCTTATTTTTTTATTTATTTTTTTTTAAATTTATACTCGGAAAAATATTTCTCTATTCTCATATCATTACCAGCGCCTCAGCATGATTACATTGTTGATTTTTTTTTTTAAATTTGGCTCATTAAATACATTTCAAGACCAATCGGAACGCGTGAGTGAATCACGTGTTGAATTAATGAAAACAGAGCGTCTTGTGGATTCGCGCCATGAAGTGAAGTGTTAAGAGATGTTTACAATGTTGGAAACGTGACATCGCTCCCCACTTAGATGGATTGCTTTTTTTTTTTTTTTCTTCCCTTGGTCTCATTATTTCTCATCGTTTATACCCAACAAAGTGTCGAGTTTCAAAACGGTTCATTTTAAGTGGCCATCTAGATCAGTGGTCCCCCCAAATGGCGGTCCGTGGACCTTCACAGGTCCGTATGCCTAACGCTGCCGGTCCCCATAACATACATATTTATTGTTAAATAGAAATAAAAGTATAAAAATAAATCATGCACTGGTCCCTTGTAAAATTTCGAAACTTGTTCACCGGTCCGCCAAACTTTAAAGTTTGTGGGACCACTGATCTAGATGACGTGCTCAGCAATTTAAAAAAAAAAAATTGTAACAAAATTATATTGTTTAGTGTTCTTTTTTTTTTTTCAATGGTCTTCAGAACATGCTGCACCTTAACTCACAAATGCCTTATCATCTAATCTTGTGTCGCTGTCAGATAGCCATCGAGCTGCCCTCCCATACCAATTTCATTCTTCTTTGCCTTAAAGCAGCGGCTCTCAACCTTCCTAATGCCGCGACCCCCTAAACACAGTTCCTCGTGTTGTGGTGAACCCGCCAATCCTATAATTACTTTCGTTGCTACTTCATAATTGTAAAGCACATGTGTTTTTACGATGGTCTTAGGCGACCCCTGTGCCCGCCAATCATAAATATATTATTTTCTTTGTTACTTCATAATTGAAGAGCATATGTGTTTTTACGATGGTCTTAGGCGACCTTGTGCATGGTTCGTTCCACCCCCCCCCCTCTCCCAAAGGGTTCGCGGCCCACAGGCTGAGAACCGCTGCCTTACAGCAACGCTAAATCTTGTTAAGTCATTTCAATGGAATGTTGCACCACATAATCTCTCGCATGCTTGAGGCCGGCCTCAATTCCAGTTCTACTGGGTTTAGCAATAAGCCTACTGGGTTTAGCAATAAGCCTACTGGGTTTAGCTGTAAGCCTACCGACGGGCTCAACACTGAGAAGCTGTCTCACGTAGGTGCAATAGTGAAACATATATATTTTATAGTGAAACATATATATTTTATAGTGAAACATATATATTTTATAGTGAAACATATATATTTTATAGTGAAACATATATATTTTGTGCCTGCGTTCAATGCTCTGACACAATTTTTTTTTTAAAGCAGTAATGGTGAGCTAAAAACCCTAAAGTTGTATCTGTACCGGCAATGCCCACTTCAAATGATTCCTAATCTTGCAATCAATAAATGAACTTCTTTTAAGACACGCAAAAACAAAAAAAAAAAAAAAAAAAAAAAAAAAAAAAAAAAAAAAA